GTCCGCCCGTACTGGGCCTTCAACTCACCTGGTCCACTCTCTGAGTCCAATCATGTCCCTCGAGTCTGCAGTGTGGTTGGTCCGCCCGCAGTGGGCCTTCAACTCACCTGGTCCAATCTCTGAGTCTACAGTATGACTGGTCCGCCCTCATAGGGCCTTTAATCGGCCTGGTCCACTCTCCGAGCCTCAGCACGTCTGGTCCGCCCTCGTGGGGACTACAGCCTATCCGAACCGCTCGCTAGGCCTTCAGAATATCCAGTCCGCCCTAGGTATCGTGGCCTACAACACGAAGCAGGACCTGCTTCAACCCAACTCCAGTCCAAACAACAATGTGCACATAAACATACAATCACATAACAATTCATATTCAGGCAAACCGATCTAGCAGATCAAATAACACAACATACTCTAACAGGATACCGACCTAACCGGTCACTAGCATAGCATCATCCTATCTACCAGGATACCGACCTTCACCGGGTCTCTAACGAATACCATCCTAACTACCAGGATGCAAACATATCAAAGCAATAACATAACAACAGATACCCGGATCTCAATCCAATAAAGGGCCGGCGTTGGTGCCATAGACCCTATTGATATAGTGAGGATAACTCACCTCGAAACTGTCGGCTATAAGGATAAGATCTCGCTGCTCCAAACTCTGACACGAACTCCTCCACTGAACACCAAAACACCCAACTCAATAAATACCCTTAATTACCAAAATACCCCTGGAAGACAACTAGTCAACCCTTGGACAAGGTAAAAGTCAACCCCTGACTGACTCTACTCGCCGAGTCAACCTGATGACTCGCCGAGTCCCTAAGCTCATAACTTCCCTCAATCCGCGACCTAACTCGCCGAGTCACCCCGAGACTCGCCGAGTCCAACAACTCTGAGTCCACTCGCACCCAACTCACCGAGTTATCCCTTGACTCACCGATTCTCGACTCAACCAGAAAATATTGGGACTCTTCGACAAGACTCGCCGAGTCCAAGAACAGACTCACCGAGTCGAAGGCTATCTTCAACCTACTCGCCGAGTTGTTCATCCAACTCGTCCAGTTCCAGCTCATCTTCAAGCAACTCGTCGAGTCCACCCATGTGACTCGCCAAGTACCACCGGTCTGAATCCATACAAAAGCATTCCAGGCCATGCGATTGATCCAAAACATAGATCTAGCCTCCTACAATCCATCCATCACATAAAGTGGCAAACTTTACGTGAATCCAAAGAGATCTAGGCCTTATACACTTTAGAGCTAGGGTTTGGGATATGATGGCTTCACTAAGCACTCAAATACAGGGACTTTAATGCTCTCTAGGCCTTCCCCATTCCAGATCTGAGGTATCAACCTCAGATCTAACCTCCAAACTCCAAAACATACAAAGATAAGCTCCCCATAAACCCCAAAATGATGAATCCATACGAGTTACAGTGCAAGAACGAGATATTACCTCAAAAGAACGCCCCAACTGCAATGAAACTCGAATCCAAGCAAATCCCCTTGCTCCAAGCCTCCAAACTCCCAAGATTCCTTCAACAATTACTCTTCAATCTCTCAAATGCACTTTGATCCACTCACACACGAATTCTAAGGGTTTCTGGACTTGAGGATGAGTAAAGAGGCTAGGGGAATGGATGTTAAGTTCTTTATATAGGGCTCAACCCCGATAATTAGGGTTTTCTCCACTCAGCACCTACTCGCCGAGTCCATCTTTGGACTCGCCGAGTAGGCTACTTGACACATGACCAAAGTCGCGACCCTACTCGCCAAGTCCATCCATGGTCTCGCCGAGTTGCCCTTCAAGATTTACACTTTTAGCCCTTCAACTCTACTCTTGATATTTCGGGATGTTACAGGCAGACTCGGCGAGTAGGGCTAGGGTTTCCCGTAAATCACTCAGTGAGTAGACTTGTTGAGTTCGGGGAATAACTTAGTGAGTCAGAGAGAGATTAGAGGATTGGGGTTCAAGGCGGAACTCACCGAGTTGATCTTGAGACTCGTCGAGTTGAGTCGGGGTGGCCCCGCGATTCATTCCACGTGTGAATCGTCAAGCAATGGGATCGACTCGACATGCCAAGCATGACTAGAGTGTTAGTGGACATGTGTAGACTCGCCGAGATGCCCAAGTGCACTCGACGAGTCAGGTCAAAGTTGACCATTGACTTTGTGGACTTTTAGGGAATTGTCAACAATGGGATCTTTGAGTGAAGATAGGTGTAAAATGGTCTTTTACCCATCTGAGGATGCTAAGAGAGGGTTGGGTCTAGTCTCGAGAGTTATATTTATGAGCGTATCTTATTTTATGTGATTAGGCGGAGGCTAGACTATACTGCTACCGAGTCAGGGATTTACCGAGACATCGGAGGTGAGTCTTCTCACTATACTTTACCTTGAGTGGTAATTAGAGTTATGTGACAGATTTATTGTATGCTACTTATGTGTTGTGTTGCACTGCATTATTTCTATGTGATTTATGCCATATGTATGTCAGAGTATATCAAAGATAGAACCGGAAGGTTTACAGAGCTAGGACCAAAGGGTCCAGACAGTTAGGGCCCAAGAGCCCACAGAGTTATAGCCTCGAGTGGCTAGTATATATTATGTATGGTATTTTGGGGAACTCACTAAACTTTTTGCTTACAGTGTTATGTGTTATGTGTTTCAGGTACCAGTGATGATCGCGGGAAGGCGCCGGCATGATTTGTACACACTCATGGGATTTTATGTATTTTGATCTTGGGAAATATTTAGTGAAACGAAGATATGATACACTGAGATTTTGTAAATAAATGTATTTGGAAAATGTGTTTTAAAATGCGAAAAATTGTCTTAAATTTTACGATGTTGCATTTATTGTCAAACTCTTAAATGTTTTACAAAACCTGCTTTCAAAACAATCAAGTCTTGGTAGAAGACTACTTTCAAAACATTCAAGTCTTGATAGAAGACTGCTTTCAAAACATTCAAGTCTTGGTAGAAGACTACTTTCAAAACATTCAAGTCTTGGTAGAAGACTACTTTTTTACTAGTAGGAAATATGGGATTTTCTAGGGTTTTCATACTTATATCAAATGTTCATTCAATGATTTACATGGAATTCATAACAGCTTTCCAAAATAGTGTAATGACACTTAAATGCTTATGAATTCACCAGCTTTATGCTGATCTACTCTCTTTCAAAATAACTTGTATTCTCAGGTCACCAGTAGACAGGTACGATGACAAGGTTTTGAGAAGACGGAGCACAGACAAGACTCATCTTTTATTTTGATTAAATATTTTGGTGTCTTATTACTATTAAAGAACACACATATATTAAACTTTACTTTTAATGCAATGGATGATGTTGTTGCTTGTTTACTACTTTACACTATTATGATACTTCACAAGACATCCCCCACCCCTGAACGTTTCTGTCGTTCTTGGTTTTGGGTTCTGACAGATTGGTATCAGAGCATTGTTTGTAGTGAATATAGTATGTCAACCCATAAAAGATATACTAAGTATAAATACATTGGGATAATAGTTATACTTTTAAATAATAAAATATTTAAGTAAGTATACGTGCATGCATTCATACTATAATCAGTGTCACAATGACAAGAACAAAAGTATTACAATTGTTGAATATCACAAGTAAGCTTGGGGATATATGGTCAGTCTTAGGAGTGGCATAGCCTGATCAACTATGCTGGTCTGAGGAGTGATTAGCACATGCCCAAGAATGTTTGTGATGTGGCAACAAGCCTAAAAACTTACCAACACAACCACAAAGAAATACCATAGGGGTATTTGGTCTTACTGTAATTACTTATTTGAGAACTAGATAGATTTTTATTTATATGTCACACTACTAGAAAAAAGGCCTTTTACGACGTGCAAAATACGACGCTCATTGATCTATGTTACGCAAAGGAGAGTGACATTAGAAAAATGTCATCTCTTCAAAAAATTTAAGGATAGAAGACACGCATTATTGCGCGCCCTTAAATTAGTGTCTAAAAAAAACACGGAGGACACCTATAATAAAATGCGCGTCGTCTAAGGATGTCGCTTTATAATTTTTAATGGAACGCGCGTTCCATCCTTTAACAGTAGGGGGAAATGAAATTCTGAAAAAATTAAAAATCCCGCCTTCCTTTTTTTTTCTCCTTTCCCTCTTGCCCAAATTATGGACGCTCCTTCCTTCCCCCTCCCGACATTGCTGCCTACTTCTTCCCTCACTTCTACCTACCGGAACCACCATATCTCCCACTCGATGTTGAAATTGTTAGAAAAAGCCCTAATTATACACTCCACTAGATTGGGCTCTCATTAATTGGAAATCCGCGCTGAATTTCTTTCTACCCATGGACACGATTTTCAATAATGCGATAACAAAAACGATTACGAGCCATGAGAGAGCGTACACTAAGATTGATTTATCGTTTTGGACGACTTTGAGGTGGTAAACGATACTGTATTGGTAAATGAAGAATCGGAGAGAAAGGAGGATTTCCGTCAGACGACCGACTGTACCGGTGGATCGGAGGTGGTCCTGTTCTTCCTCCCACCACGATTCCCAGCTTTTGTTCGCCGGAACACCGATTCCACCGTGGTTTCTGATCCACGCTGACCAGTCGTCCCAGTCTTCAACGATTTTCTGCCCTTCTTCAATCTTGAGTACACGGTGTGTGCTTATTTTTTCTGCTCAAATCCCAACTTCCACTTCAGATTTACAGTATTTTTCTATATTTTTTTCTTCATAAACATGCTGATTTATCCCATTCTATACCTAAACTTTGATGTTATGAATAGGGTATCAATAGGGCTAGGGTGGAGCAAATGGAAGACCGGTTGAAGGAAAGTTATGAATAGGGTATCAATAGGGCTAGGGTGGAGCAAATGGAAGACCGGTTAAAGGAAGACATATTGCTAGAAGCTGCAAGGTATTCTTTTTAACATGTTTCTGTGTTTGATATCCATTTTCTTATCATCTCAATACCTATCTCGATTACAGATATGGAAATAAGATCCTAGTAACTGATGAACTACCAGATGGTCAAATAGTGGATCAATGGGAGCCAGTCACACCGACTCTGTCAAAACATCACTACAGGTTCACCATACTATGAAATTAAATGTTCATTTTGAATATCTGTTTCATAATTCCTTTCACTATTGTAGGTCTATTTAGAAATCCAAACAAGAAAATTCCTTGTTGACTACGAACGCATTCCAGCAACAGATGAAAAATCACCCAAGGAACATGATTTTGATACGTTGGTGAGTGTTATTTTCATTTAACAAAATGAAAATATTTAACTTAGATTATACTTTATATATGATTTGTGTTTTATGATCTTTATAGGTTGATAGAATTTCAAGAGCTGATCTTAAGACAGAAATAATCTTTAACTGCCAAATGGGGCATGGGCGTATTACCACAGGGATGGTCATTGCCACATTGATCTATTTAAATCGAATAGGAGCTTCTGGTACTTTTTTTTTGTCTCTGTGAAGTTTATGTTTTATGATTGCATGCTTTTACAGTATGCAAATGAACCTTTTTCCTTATAAATTTCCCATTACAACAACATTCTTGAGGCCTGGGTAGACCCGTCTTTTGGCACAACATGAGAGAAGAACCTGTTATTTACATTAATGGAAAGCCCTTTCTGCTTCGTGAGGTTGAAAGACCCTACAAAAACATGCTCGAGTATACGGTATATACTAATAATCCTCTCTCATTTTTAATGTTTATTATTTAAATATACTCAAGTGTCAAGTGGTTTAATGTAGGGAATTTACTGTGAAAGAGTGGAGAGAATGGAAGCTCGACTGAAAGAAGATATTCTCAAAGAACCTGAACGTTATGGATGTAAGGTATCTACCTGATACCTTGCTGCAACCTTGTTGCCTAAGAACAGAAAACAAAACAGAGCAGGAAGAAAAAAAGGAAAAAAAAAAACTACATGGCTGGCAACAGGTGATAACAGGGGAAGAAAAAGATGGGATTTTTTATTTTGCTTGGTGGAAAAGAAAACTTTTATTGCTGAAAAACTTCTTTCTAAATACCTATAACGTAGCATATTTATACTAAAAGAAAAAGAGTTTGACTCATAGTCTAAAACCGGGAAACAAAAATAATAAAAGCATTTTCCTAAAATGCCCCTGTGGGCTTTTTCCTGAATTACGCCAACAATGGAGGTGATATTATGGCAATTCACGAACTACAATCATATTTTATTACAAAAACTTAATTAAATTGGAACTTTCCCAACATACCCCTGAGGCTATTTTTGTCCCCAATTCTCAGGGGACGGAATAATGATGGATGGTCAAGCTAAAATTTGGTTTTGAATTTAATTTGGTATAAAAATGACAGGTTTGATAATGGTAGATGGTCAAGATACAAGAACTTTTCAAGTCCATTTGGAATATTACACTACAGATAATATTCTCTCTTTATTTCAGAACTTCTTACTTCTTCGTCTTATTAACTTTTTCATCTTATAATATGTTTGGATGCTGCTACATTTTAATACTGTCTGGAGTATATTATATTTGTTATTTGTGATAATAGCAGCTGGTTTTGTTTGTGATGGGATTAGTGTAAATTTTTGTCTGTTTTGTTGTTTTCTGGATGATAGCTAGGTACCTAAAGCATTGTTTAAAGGTGGATCAGTAGTCTACATGTCATTGCATGTCATTGCATTCTCACTGTTACCTATCAAAGTACTGAGGTAAATATTATGATTTTTTATATTAATTTTCTTACTTTCTAAAATTATTAGTGTTTTTTTTTTCTGAGTTATGATTGAAAAACAGTGAACTAGGGTAAATTTTATGAATTATGATATTAGTTTCTGAAAATATATAATTAGGGCATCATTATGTCTTATTGCCCCGGGCAACATATTTCTTTGGACCGGCCCTGGGTCCTTGCATTGCAATTGCCTATTTATCGGTTCTAAAGGACTGTGAGATTCATTGCTTTCATGAAGGATTGGAAGTCAAACGACTTGGTGGTCTCCATGTCATTGGGACATCTTTGCATGAGTCCCGAAGAATTGATAATCAGGTAACTTTGCATCAGTATTGTGTTTTAAGGTTTTACATAAATTTAGCATATACTTTCAGACTCACTTTTTTAATTTATTTCTTGCTTTACAAAGCTTCGTGGCAGAGCAGGAAGGCAAGGAGATCCTGGATCAACACGCTTCATGGTCAGGTAAGTTCATTTAAATGATTTTTATAAAGTTTAAAGTCAATCCTTTCATCTGGACAAAATTCTTCATGTTAAATTACGTAATAGTCCTTGGAGTAGTTGACATGAACAATTTTTTTTTGTTAGAATGATTCCATATATATGTGCAAGCAAGCACATGCCTTGTGAAAAAGGGAAATCTATTCTAGTCATTCTCTTTAACAAGGCAACCTTAAAGTTGATTTTTTAAACCTGATGTTTAAAACTACATTGAGTGTGAGATAGAAGTTTATGCAGAGAAGGAAAAAGATAGAAGTTTTTGAGGATGTTGCTGATGAAAAAGATAGAGGTTCTTTAGGATGCTGCTAATGAAGTTTATGCAGAGAAGGAAAAAGATAGAAGTTTGTTGGCACATAGTAAGCTAGATAATTGATGCAATTGTACATAAATGAGTTCATTTTTTTATAACATTTACTCACTATTGGAATAATTATTTGTATTTGACATATTAGTGAAATGAATTATATTTTTTTATTTATGGTATTTTATTTATTATTATGAGATTTCTAATGTATTATTTAATATGAAAAATTAGTAAATCTATAAATAATATTTTTTTAAAACATTTAAAATTATGATACGCAAAAATGTGTGTCATCTTTATTTATGACATGGCCTTTCTTGACAGGGGCTTCCTTGATACGCATTGCGTGTCATAAACACGCGCGTCGTAAGGTTACGACACACAAATGTGTGTCGTCTTCCTTTATGACAGGGCCTTCCTTGATACGCATTGCGTGTCATAACCGCGCGTCGTAAATGTGCGTCATAAATGCGCGTCGTAAATGCGCGTCGTCTATAGACGACACGCAAAAGCGCGTCATCTCTCTTTATGACAGGGCCTTCCTTGACACGTATTTGCGCGTCGTCTGAGCATTTTACGACGCGCAATGAGCGTCGTAAAAGGCCTTTTTTCTAGTAGTGTCAATAGTTATTTAGTGGATACACTAAAGTTATATGTACTAGGATGTCATAGACTTAGAATCTTTGAAATCTTTGCCTTATGTCCTGTCCTCGTTGGGTTGTGGGCTTAGGGTTAGGGTCACTTATTCGAAGGTCTATCCTATCCTAACTACATATAACTAGTATGCACTAAAAAAGTATTGAAGCAACTGATAAAGATCATTTTATAATTATCTTAGTTAGTTTGTCTATTTAGTTGTTTCTTATATCCCTTTTATCGCGTAGATATCATGGCTGGATTTCACCATGGTGACCCGTACTTCCCAAACCAAGGCAATGTTGGATGGATAGAGGAAGAACACGAAGATGATCACCAAATCCCTTTGGATGATCACTATGCCAAAGGATTCTTTGATAGTTCTGACTTGGAGCCTAAAGTCAACAACCTACCTCCAGCTACTCAAAACCCAAACCCTCGCCCAACATTTCAAGGACCCATACTCCTGTGGGCCACAAACTTGAATAAATGGAGCCAGGAACAGGGTCAACCTATCCCCTACAACGGAGATAGAAGCTTCTACAACCTCACTGAGGGAGGTTCTGCTGATAGGGTCCTACCCATCATGGTTCATAGGATTTCTCGGAACACGATACTGGTTCAATGAACTATCAATCGAGTCTTGGAGATTGATGCCAACTATGGCGTTAACACTTTCCATATTCGCCAACTAGCATCTCCTCAGGAAAGGACTCTAGTCTGTAATGCAGCTCTACAGAGAGAACTTGTTGAAACCCAAGCTGAAGTCAAGGAACTTCAAGCTCAGCAAGCGAGATCTGACAGGTGTATGAGGGACATAGAAACCCTACTGTCGGGATCCATAAATCATGCTAGTAGTTCTCGTCACCTATAAAATCTCGTCGACTTCTTTTTTTGGGTATAACCTAGTTATGTAAAATCTCTAGTCTAATTCCGTATCTTGGTAGATCTTAGACCTGCTAGGTCGTGATATGATCTTAATTCTGTCAAAATTTTCCTATCTTGGTTGATGTAAGGCCTACTTCTAGGCCATTTTTCCCAAACTTGTTACATCTGTAATTCCAGTATTATTGACAGATCATATGGAAATTATTATCCGAATGCTATCATCTTCATTCAATCGTACTATTCATTGTGTTGTTGGACTATGAAGAGTTAGTCCATGAGTCACTCTCATTATTCAATTATTCTTATCAATGTTGTCATCTTTTTAAACGTATAGTTAAAAGATGCCTCAACGCAGAAATCCGAGGTATAACCCAAATGACGAAACACCGATACCACCACCTCCTCTACCACCTCAACCTCCTCAACCACCTCATCCTTTCAATGCCACTATGTTCCAGGCAGCTTTCACAGCAGCTGTAGTAGTTGTCGTGTCATCCATCAATACTCCTGCCCCTAGTGGTTCGCAAATAGGTGCACATCCTTCCAACCACGGCGAGAGCCATGAGCATCCTAGGGAATGTACCTACAAGGACTTTATGAATGCCAAACCCTGAAACTTCAATGGAACTGGTGGGGTTATGGTGTAAAGGCAATGGATTGAAAAGATGGAAGCGGTCTTTGAAATCTGCATCTGCCCAGAAGGAAACAAGGTCAAGTTTGCTACTTGTACCTTTTCTGACAGAGCACTAACCTGGTGGAATCGCCATGTCAATGTCTCTGACTATTGTGGTGGCGAATTCTATCAGCTGGGAAAACTTGAAAGCCATGCTGATGAGAGAGTACTGTCCTCGAGGGGAAAAACAAAAACTCGAACAGGAACTTTGGGGTCTGGATATGGTTGGTTCCGACATATCAACCTATACGAATAGGTTCTGTGATCTGGAAATTCTATGCCCTGATATGGTTGCTCTCGAGAGCAAGAGAATAGAGAGATATATCTGGGGACTGTCGCCCCAGATCCAGTAAAGTGTGTTAGCATCCAAGCCTGTCACTTTTGATAGCGCCAAGGAGCTGGCAGAATCTCTCATAGATAACGGGAAACACAAGAACCCATTAATCCCTGCACCCCAGCCACAAAAGGGAAACAACAACGACAACAAGAAGAAGGAGGGGAACAAGAGGAAAAGAGGGGCTTCGCAAGAATCCTCAAAGAGACAACAACTTGTGGCGATCAACATTGCCACGGTAACCCCTGTTGTCCCTACAAACCCATTACCAGCAAAAGCATATGCCAGTAATCTTCCTAGGTGCAAAAAATTCAACTTCCATCATGATGGACCTTGGGAAGAAATGCAGTGCTCTAACTGCAACAGGAAGGGGCATACTGCCCATTTCTGCAAGACTCCAACAACACCGACCACCCAAGTTCCTAATGCCAGTGTGGGCCAAGCTTGCTACAGTTGTGGCGAGGTAGGCCACTACAAGAGGAACTGCCCCAAGGCGGGGATGTCTGGCAGAGTAGGAAGAGTTATGGACATGGGCCACGAGGAAGTAGTAGTTGATCCTACGATAGTTACTGGTACATTTCTCCTCGATAACTCAGATGCTTGCATACTTTTCGATAGTGGAGCGGAGAAGAGTTTTGTAATCCATAAAATTGCACACCTACTTAAACAAAAACCTCGTGCCTTAGATAAATCATTCATTGTAGAGATGGCAAACGGGAAAATGGAAAGTACTAACTGCATATACGTAGGTTGTACTCTAACTTTAGATGGCCATACTTTCAAGATAGACGTCATGCTGGTCCCAATTAAATGTTTCAACATTATCATCGGCATGGATTGGTTGAGTCTTCTTCACGCCGACATCATGTGCTTTGAGAAAACAGTCCGTCTAAATTTTCCTAACAACGAAACCTTACCTATCTACGGCGACAAACCGACTCTAAGACTTCGCATCATTTCATGCATCCAAGCTCAGAAGTGCTTACGAAAGGAATATCATGCATTCCTCGCACACATCCTCGATACGAGTCAAGAAGTAAAAGACATTCAGAACATCCCAAAGGTGCACAACTTTCCCGATATCTTTCCAGAGGAACTCCCAGGATTACCACCACAACGCCAAGTCGAGTTCAAAATTAACTTAGTGCCAGGGGCTACTCCCGTAGGCAGGTCTCCTTATCGTCTAGCACCGGCAGAGATGCAGGAAATTTCTAGTCAACTTAATGAACTTCTCAAGAAGGGATTCATTAGGCCAAGCTTCTCACCATGGGGAGCACCAGTCTTGTTCGTCAAGAAGAAAGATGGATCGTTTCGCATGTGCATCGGCTACATGGAACTCAACAAGCTTACCATTAAAAATCGTTATCCCTTACCCCGCATTGATGATTTATTTGATCAACTTCAAGGAGCCAACTACTTCTCGAAGATAGCTCTACGATCCGGATATCACCAAGTACGAGTCATTGCCTATGCCTCGAGACAGCTGAAGACACATGAAGTTAACTACACCACCCACGACCTGGAACTTGGAGTAGTTGTATTTGCTCTGAAAATTTGGAGAGACTACCTATGTGGTACAAAAATCACGATCTTTACAGACCACAAAAGTCTACAACATATATTCGATCAGAAAGAGCTCAACATGAGACAACAATGGTGAGTCGAGCTACTCAGTGATTACGAATGTGAAATTCATTATCATCCGGGTAAAGCCAACGTAGTAGCTGACGCCCTAAGTCGGAAGGAATATTCTGGTCGTAGAGTCAAATCTTTGACTCTAACTATCCATTGACACTTGTCTACAAAAATTAAGGAGGCTCAACTCGACGCTTTGAAACCTGGAAATGTGGCAGGTGAATCCCCGAGAGGAATGGATAAGAATTTAGAAGTCAAGGGTGGCGGAGCCTTATACCTCATGGATCGGATGTGGACACCGAAACACGGTGACTTCAGAGACTTGGTCATGGCAGAGGCACACAACACCCATTATTCCGTCCACACAAAATCAGATAAGATGTATATGGATCTTAAAACATTATACTGGTGGCCTAACATGAAAGCAGATATTGCTACCTTCGTAAGTAAATGCCTTACTTGCGCGAAGGTAAAGGTCGAATACCAGAAACCCAACGGTGTTCTGCAGCAACCGGAGATACCAGAACGGAAGTGGGAGCGGATCACTATGGACTTCATAACCAAGTTGCCCAAGACAACGGATAGACTTGATACCATATGGGTCATCATTGACAGATTCACCAAGTCTGCACACTTCCTACCCATCAAGGAAACTGACAAAATGGAGAAACTTACGAGAACCTACATTAGGGATATTGTACGACTGCAATCGATCCTATACCTGAAGCGCATGGGAGACTGTTGGATTAGTGTCTAAGTCCATAACTATTTTGGTATGTACTTGACCCGATGGTGCATGGTCCTTTTGAGTTGCCT